CTATGATTAAGCATTTAAAAAAATTCGTACAAGAGGAAATACAAGCTCATTTGGCACTTTTTTTTTCTTAATTGGTAAATAAGGAAAATTACATGACACTGTGGTGCAGTTGCACTCAGCATGTGCCTGTATCTCAACAAAAGTACTGAGATCAGATTGTCATACCAAACGATCAAGCGATTTTGGTAGTTTAAGCAACGTACGAGCGTGTATCTTCACTCCGCCATAAATCTCTCAAATTTATCTGTCCCAGTAGCCATACCAGAACAAGCTATCCCGAAAATCAAGCGACTGTCGTAATTTGAATGCTTTGAAAATAGATACCGCTGTAGATGCTGGCCATCCCGTAGATCTTTATAATTCCTGCTAACGATGTGTTACCTAACAACTTACAGACCAGAGATCTCGCTATCATATTGGTCAGGCGTATTTTGTACCTAAAGGCTTCTTGCTTCTCGTGGTATGCATGAGCAGACCGATTTGCAATTACAGCAGCTTTTGCGGTTGGCTCGATTGCCGCATCTTATAACATTGCAAATTTTCTTTGGGGACCAGTGCCCAGTTCAGAACTCAACGACGAAGAGCTGTACCCATTAACGGCCACTGTGGTTATTGACGCATACAGGTTTGCGCAACCTTCGCTGCATTTTACTCACGAACTCTTTCCCTTTATCAGCTTATTCAGCATGATGCCACATAATGCAGGATTGCGCTGGCAGTGACCTGCTTGCTGAAACATTTCATCTGGCAAGAGTTCGCATTCTTCTACGCACTGAACAGGGAGGACAAGCCGTGTCAGTATTTCGAAGAAGATATGGAGGTAGTCTTCTTTCATCCTTTAAATCAGTCCTTCTACTGAGATATATCTAGCACTCAGCTCCGAGCAAATGTATGTGGGGAATAATCAGAACTCAGGGACATCGCCACCACAACGAACTTTGGTGTTGCGTTCCCAAGGTGTGTTTATTAGGAAGACATACGATGCCCTTTTCGGAGCGTACCGGTCAAATCATGTCACGTCTGGATAGTTTCAGCGAGCAGTGAATTTCGTTGGAGGATTGACAG